AAACAGTAAGATCCTGATCTTGTCCTACAATAGGGCAGTGTAACACTGTTAAACAGTAAGATCCTGATCTTGTCCTACAATAGGGCAGTGTAACACTGTTAAACAGTAAGGTCCTGATTTTGTCCTACATAGGACATTGTAGGACAGGTTGACAGTAAGGTCCTGATCTTGTCCTACAATAGGACATCGTAACACTGTTAAACAGTAAGTTTCTGATGATGTTTACATCGGACATTTTAGGACTGTTTAACAGTAAGATCCTGATCTTGTCATACAATGTAGGACTCTGTAAACTGAAACTGAGTCAAGTGTCCCTCTTATGGAAATGACCATTTTGATCTGACATGACTTATTTTGAACATCCAGATATCTGGATCATTTCTACTATTTGACATTATCCTGTATATACTGTATAAGATAATATTCATACAGCAATACTTTATGTATTTCAGATCATTCAACCCAAACCAAAGAGGACATGGACAGGTGGGTGTGGCTTGTTGACATGGAGAGGACATGTGCTACCCTAATTGGCCAATGCCTTGGAGGGATGCTGGTTGGCATGGCGCTATCCACACAGGAGAAAAACTGTTCTTACTGGCTGGAGAAATCACTGTTTGGAAACGGGCCTGAGGTTTCATCCCTCCAGCTCGGTAATATGTCCAAGTTAATTTCTGTGGATTTTTTATGCTTAACTGAGTGAAAGGGAAACTTACAAAGATTGGCAGTGATGTAGTACTTCACAGATTGTTTGCTTATTTCTCATGATCGCAAAAAAAAGATGGCCACTAGGCAGCTATCTTGGATTTCGAGAGTTACATTTTGTAATCAGTATTTCTCCAGGACCACGTGACAGATCTATCTCACATGACATACGAAAAAGTTCCCTTTGGTCCCTAGTGGTGCATGTTGCATTTTGAGACCAATTGGAAAAACAAGATGGCCAAGATGCTATCTTGGATTTTGAGAGTTTGTTACTGCTTTTTCTCAAGAAATACTTGGTAGATCTTTCTCAAATTTTATATGGTAGTTCTTCTTGGTCCATAATTGTGCATGTTTCATTTTGAGACTTTGCAGAGTTCCATTTTTTATTTTGATTATTCAAGTTTGTTATTGCTATTTCTTAATTACTAGACAGACAAATGTTATACCCAGGTTTCCCCTTAGTGATTAGTTGTGCATGTTTCATTTAGTGATTGATCTGAAAAACAAGTTGACCATCAGCCAGTCATCTGGGATTTTGACAGTTCAAATTTGTTATCACATATCCTCAAGAATTACTTGGGGGATCTTTCCCAAATTTCAAATTTAGGTTCTTCTTAGAAATCTGAAAAGTTGTGCATGTTTGATTTTGGGACTGATCAGAAAAACAAGATTGCTGCCAGGCAACTTGAGCCATTTTATGAATATTATCAATAGTTCCCAAAAAGTGCTTGACATTTTTTTCTTCTTTTTTAAATGGCCTGTTCTCCTTGTTTCACATTAAGTACTGTACTAGTAAATATGGTAAATAACAACCTCACTTTATATAAAAGATAATGTCATGCACAGTAGTATGAAATTTAGGTCGCAAGTTACCTCAAGGTGCATTTACTGCTTACATGATTCAATCAAACAGATAAGGAGAAAAAAGATGGACCTGACATAGAACTAATGAAGATGGTAACATGGTGGGGGCCGACATCCCTCTGGGATCTCTTGTTGTTGTAAACATGTCTTGATTAGCAAGACTCGGGACATGGCCTTGTGGTCCATTTTATGCTAGTTGCTAACCGTATTTCCTAGCGGCAGCATTTTACAAAGTGTTCAATTATGCAGAATGAAACATAACTTAAGGCATGTTTGATATGAAAACAAAAACAATTACTTTCAATTACAAAGTGTTGATATAACTTTATTTTAATAAATCTTACGAAGTGATAATCTTTTGTTTATGTACAATGCGCTGTGACAGCATTGTTATTTTTCAATGTCTTGTTTCAGAAATTTGTTATGATCCTGAGTATGTGGTCCACATATTGATGTGATATTCAGTCAATGAGTCAAAGTTTAACTTTCAGACTTTGATAATGATCTGTACTTCGGTGTTTTGAAGTGTGGAAACATTGATGTCCACACAGTGTACACAGTATCTTTTAAATTGTGCAGATTTGCAAAAAAAAGTGCAAGTTGCTCACGATTCACCACCTTCCTAATCACTGGTTGATCATAATGTGAACATCTCCATGCACAAAATTCTCCAATCTAGTGGTACAAACAGATAGGGGACTCTCAGCTGCTCACAGCCACCTATTCCCACCTGAAATTTGGACATCATTCTTACAATGAATTTCCCAATGACTGCGGTAATAAATTTCTGTGCAACATTCTCAATCAGTTTCAGAGAGTCAAACTGCCCTGGTGGCAGTATGCTTTCTCCTTCATGTATACTGAGTACATTTTCAAATTTAAATATGTCAAGCAGGAAGGACACTAGCAAATTAGTCCCAATGATGATAATAATAACCAATCTATTTCAAGTTAATAGTGGCTATCAACTTGAAATAGATTGGTTATTATTATCATAGTGTCAATTATATTCGTGACAATTTTAGAATCATATTCACAGAGTTCCACAGCCCTCGTTGTGGCAGTACCAACATCCCTGTGAGTACTGAGGACCTTGAGGACCTTTTACCTCCATAGATTTTTCAACTCTATGAAATTTATGCATTACAAGGTCGTCGTCCACTGCTGCTTGATTTTCACCTATCAATACCGCAGAGCCATTCTGTACCCTGGTTATAGCCTCTATCACCTATCAATACCGCAGAGCCATTATGTACCCTGGTCAGCCTCTGCTGACCGTCTATATCAAATTAACGTTACCAACATTTATAGATCAAGAGCAGCTGGGATAATCTTCAAGCCTAGTAGAGACAGGGTTTTAGATTGTAGTATGTATGTGTATGTTGTTGTGTATACATGTAGTTTAAATGTTGGAAGTTTTTTGTAATAGATTAAGAGAAACTAAACCACTGTCTTTGATATTATTATTGGTATTAATCTAGTTTAAAAATATTTTTATTCCTTTCCACAGAGAAATTTATCAGCAATATCGTGGAGTGTTCCCAGGGCCGCCGCGCGGAAGTGCCCTCCATTGAACAGCTGGACCTGGGTGCTGACACCATGTCATTGGTGGAACTGTGTTGTGGTTTTAAATCGGAGGCCAACAATGCTCTGTGGGAGACTATGATTGATCATGCAAAAACTCAGGGTAGGAATAATTCAAAAAACTGATAATGCATCAGCTGTCTGATAAATATTCCCAATAACAGGTTTAGTGTACTGATAAATACTCCCAATAACAGGTTTAGTATACTGGAATCAGGTTGTCATCAGCTGTCTGAAAAATACTGCCAATAACAGGTTTAGTATACTGGAAAATACTCCCAATAACAGATTTAGTATACTGGAATCAGGTTGTCATCAGCTGTCTGATAACTACTCACAATAACAAATTTTGTATACTGGAAAATACTCCCAATAACAGATTTAGTATACTGGAATCAGGTTGTCGTCAGCTGTCTGATAAATACTCCCAATAACAGGTTTAGTGTACTTATAAATACTCCCAATAACAGGTTTAGTATAATGGAATCAGGTTGTCATCAGCTGGCCGATAAATACTCCCAATAACAGATTGAGTATACTGGAATCAGGTTGTCATCGGCTGCCTGATAAATACTCCCAATAACAGATTGAGTATCCTGGAATCAGGTTGTCATCAGCTGGCCGATAAATACTCCCAATAACAGATTTAGTATACTGGAATCAGGTTGTCATCAGCTGGCCGATAAATACTCCCAATAACAGATTTAGTATACTGGAATCAGGTTGTCAATTTCTCCTGCTGATCCAGTGCAAGTAGTACATTTTGGAATGTCCAAGTGTTGCATTTCAAACTAAGTCATGATCACTTTGATCTATATTTTGACCTCTGACTCCAATAATTGAAATTTGGTTTGTCAGGGTTTAGATTTTTTTTCAAGGTACTAGCCTGGTGCTAGAAGTAATAACCCACTAGCCGGAAATCAAAATTGTCTAGCCCGACACCTATGAAATCGATCAAACTGACATGATAACATGATCTACAGTAAATCAAATTCACAAGTGGATATGTTTTCCTTTAAAAATTTACAACTTCATTAATTTTAGCTCACCTGCCCAAAGGGCAAGTGAGCTTATATTATGCCATGGTGCATCATCCGTCCGTCATCAGTCTGGTGTCAACTTTTTACTTTAAACAACTTCTTCCCAGTAACCAAGCGACCTAGGATGATGATATTTGTCCAGGAGCATGCTGGGATAAAGGACTACCAAGTTTGTCAAAATGAATGACCTTCACCAATTTTCAAGGTCACAGGTGTCAGATATGTTAAAATCTTTTAACGACTTCTTCTGAATAACCAAGAGGCCTAGGGTGATGATATTTGGCCAGTGACATGCTGGGATGAAGGGCTACCAATTTTTATTGAAATGAATGACCTTGAATTATGCTCATTTTCAAGGTCACAGGGGTCAAATTTGTTGAAATATTTCAACAACTGCTGAATAACCAAAAGGTCCAGGATAATGATATTTGGCCAGAGGCATACTGGGATGAAAGGCTATAAAGTCTGTTCAACTTATATTAATGTTAATGTTCGACTTCACAGGGGTCATATGTTTAAATTTTTTAATAGATTCTTTTGAATCAAACACTGATGTTTTGCCTATATCTGTATTTTAGTCCACTTTTAAGGTTACAAGTGTGAGATTAATACCAGGTGAGCAATCTGTAATATCTGTTACCCTCATGCTTATCAAATAAAAGAGAATGGTTTGCAACAAAGAGGTCTGTTTTGGTGGTTAGTATAAACTTTCAGACTTTTACTGTTATATATGTTGTGGATATGGCCTACTAGCACATTTAACACACACGTGAAAAGCAACAGAACATCTTGCATCATCAATGCATCGTCAAAGACTCCATGTGTTCTTAGAGATATTGTAGTGAAATAACCAGGAATTTACAGGTTTATAATATCAGATGGTTACCCTCATGGTGATAGAGTTGAATAGAAGCGTCTTTGTCAGGGAATTAAGTCACTAGCCCTGAGCTTGTTTGTTAACAAAGAGCTACTATATTTAGTATGAAGGTCAATCTTTAGAGGGCAGTGTGTCTCATACCTAAAGTAGCACTCATCTGTATTTTTTAGCTCACCTGGCCAAAAGGGCCAAGTGAGCTTATACTTTAGCAGGCATCCGTTGTCCGCTGTTGTCCGTCTTGCAGTTCTTTCTATATCGTACCTTATACATTATATAATCCTAAGAGCTATTCCACAGGTAACTAATCTATATCATACCTTATACACTGTATAACCTTATATAATCTTAAGAGCTGTTCCACAGGTAACTAATCTATATCATACCTTATACACTGTATTAAAGTATGTAATCTTAAGAGCTATTCCACAGGTAAATAATCTATATCATACGTATACCTTATACACTGTAAACAATTATGTAATCTTCAGAGCTTTTCCACAGGTAACACGTTTATGTCATGTTTTCACCCTCAGACTGGCACACCAGTGAGCTGACTGATGAGGCTGAATTAGATACAGTGGCCAGGTGTCTATTGTCAGCCCTGCTGAAGCATTGTAATCTTACCAAGTTGGCATTACACAAACACAGGTAACACAATTACCATACACATGTCTATTTCCAAAGATTGTTAGCAGACATTAATTACAAGCATTGTGAAAAGGGGGCTACTAAGGATTAACTGTGTGTACAGAATTTCTTTGATCATCAGCCAGAGAGTATCTGTTGAAGTGTGATAGATCTGTATTCGACAAACTTTTGATAAAATATTCACACCCTAAGGGGGACTATACATTTGCACTCTGTCCATCTGTCTGAAAGGTTTGTCCTGGGCAAATCTTCTTATACTTTTTGATTTGGAGTTACCATATTTAGCATGCAGGTATGTCCTAAGATGGTAGAATCTATTTACCAAAGGCCAGTCACTACCATCATTATTTTGATCTCTGACCACAGTCTTTGGAAACATTTGTCGTACTCTGCATTTGGATACTTTCTTTACAGTAGGTTGATCCCGAAGGTGTACAGTTTTGTAAATAAAGAAATCATTATAGTTGGGAGACTATGGATTGCCTTGCAATACTTTTCCTTGTCTTACGTTTGTGCCAACTGTAGGAACCGTGAATCTTTCCAAATATCTTTCTTTTTATCTATGAATCTTTTGCTATTGCGTTTGTTTGTCATTTTCCATTGTGCCTCTGTTAACATTTCACATTTTTGACTTCTTCATCATAACAACGGAACCAATTTCAATAAAATTTTGCAGAAAGGTTCCATGGTCAAAGGCACACTAAAACTGTGAGTTATGTGGATCTCATCCAGGGGCTGGGCCAAAAGGGGTCATATTGTCTGAAACTTAATCAGTTTTCTTCTTCAGACTCAGATATGCTGGAATTCAAATACACTGCATGGATAGACATGGCAGAAGGCACTACATCAAAACTGTGAATGTCATTGGCCCTGGGTCACCAATTCCCCCTTGGGAGGGGATAAAGTTTACCATGGTTTATTAGCTCACTCTCTATTTTCTGACAATATCACAAATTTATAACAATCATTGTATCAAACTCAGGTGACTGTTAAGGCAAATGGGCCTCTTGTTACTTAGTGTGTGCAATGGCTAGTGATGATGCCCTTATTTAGGATAGCACTAACTTCTTATCAGGGGTCAATTAAAGATAATGTGCTGATAAAAAAATTTCAATTTCTGCTTCACCATGTTTCTCTTGTTTGCAATATATTTGTCACAGTATCAACGAAAGTTTAGAAGATATCTTCAGGCATGTGTTTAAAGTTAGAAGCCAACTCTATGAAATAAAGCAGATGAAGAGTTTGTCTAGCAGCAAAGTGTTGGAATCACCAGTTTCTGATAAAACTCCCAAACACGAAACCTCCGACTTGTCACCAGGGGAAGTGCCAGAACGGTCTGAGGGGGTCACGGAATGGTCTGAAACCATGGAGGAGGAAGAGGAGAGAGAAGATGATTGCTCTGAGCCACTCTCAGGTTAGTAGCATCCATTGGTTGTAAAGGTTATAAATCTCCGTTGTACTTATTTTTGTACAGCACTAACTTCATTTTTTCTGAAATACATTTTTGAGTGATGCAGGCCCATTGAGCACCTTGTTGCAGTTTATAACACTTTTTGGTATTTTTCATATATGTCAGTGGGAAACTTGGTTGGAATGATCATTATGTGATTGCATGTTAAATTTATGAAAATTAAGATCCTGGCTAACACCCAGGTGTTAAGGGGTAACGTTTATATTGGTCAGAATGGCCATAATATGACAGTTTTCCTCTACATCAGATCCAGATATTCTGGAATTTTAAAAAATTAATGGATAGAAAGGTTCCTAGGTGTTTTATCAAAATTGTAAATTTCATTTCCTTTGGGTCAATCATTCCCCATTAGCGAAGGGGTAAAATTTACCATATAATTTATTTGTTTATCTATTTCTCAGAAAGTACTGGAGGGATCTTTCTCAAATTTGATATGAAGGTTCCCCTTGTTCTTCCTTTCATAGCTTTTAAATTTTGAATAAAGTAACGTGGGAAGCCCTTCGAACATCTGTATTCACTACAACTGTCATCATGTACGCTCATTGACACACTGCTCGTATATTGAAGCGGTCAAATTTTTCAGAACGAAGCCGCATTGTTTACGCTACCGTCAAAGATATCTAAGTGTTCATCCATGGAATAAGAATTTTGTCAGCATCTCTTTGCTGTAAAATTAGATAATGGATCCCCAATATGTTCCATGTATCTAGATGGTGAAGGAACCGAGCAACGGTTGCCATCGGACTGTTACTTCGCTGAAGCGTGAACGGCGCCATATTTGAAACAAGTATCAATCCACCGAGCCTTTTTTCACTACGTATACGCTAATTTATAAACAGTCAGAATTTACTAAGCTGAAAAAAGGAGTCTTGTAAATATTAGTACATAACATACAATCTATAGTAATTGCATATAAAGGGAGAAATTAACACTAGGCGAACATGGACTTTATTTGCAAAGGGCGAACATTTGACTGGGCAAAAAATTCCCAGTACACAGTATTTGTACTTAATTGTCATATCACACTAACAAATAATAATAAGATAGAGCCAGCGGCCTCTTGTTATAATAAAATTTATTACCAATACTTTTCCCAGTTTTATGTTTATAATTGTTTTTAAACTCACAGATGATGAAGGGACAATTAAAGATTCTCCCCAAAACATACGTGAGCAGTCTTTTGAGGAAGCATGTCTGGATTACCAACAGAGGTGTCTGTTTTTACTGCTTGGTGTCAGAGCTGCAGTAGCAGGTGAGAATTATATGTCTTATAGGTTATCATCACATACCTGTTAGAACATACACTGTCGTGTTATAAATAATATTACATGTAATTATAACAGACACTGTCGTGTTATAAATAATATTACATGTAGTTATAACAGCCACTGTCGTGTTATATATAATATTACATGTAGTAATAACAGACACTGTCGTGTTATATATAATATTACATGTAGTTATAACAGCCACTGTCGTGTTAGAAATAATATTATCTCTAGTTATAACAGCCTCTGTTGTGTTATCTATGATTTAACATGTTTTTATAACAGCCTCTGTTGTGTTATATATAATATTACATGTAGTTATAACAGCCTCTGTTGTGTTATATATAATATTACATGTAGTTTTAACAGCCACTGTCGTGTTAAAAATAATATTATCTCTAGTTAGAACAGACACTTGTGTTATATATAATATTACATGTAGTTATAACAGCCACTGTTGTTTTATATTTAATATTACATGTAGTTATAACAGCCACTGTTGTGATATATATTATATTACATGTAGTTATAACAGCCACTGTCGTGTTATAAATAATATTACATGTAGTTATAACAGTCACTGTCGTGTTATAAATAATATAACATGTAGTTATAACAGCCACTGTCATGTTATAAATAATATTATCTCTAGTTAGAACAGACACTTGTGTTATATATAATATTACATGTAGTTATAACAGCCACTGTCATGTTATATATAATTATATTACATGTAGTTATAACAGACACTGTCTTGCTACATATAATATTATCTCTAGTTAGAACAGACACTTGTGTTATATATAATATGACATGTAGTTATAACAGCCACTGTCGTGTTATATATAATTATAGTACATGTAGTTATAACAGACACTGTCGTGTTATATATAATATTATTTCTAGTTAGCACAGACACTGTTGTGTTATCGATGATTTAAAATGTTTTTATAACAGCCACTTGGTGGGGGAAGTGTGGAGTACAAGTAGTATGTCACTATAAGAAATAATATTATCTCTAGTTATAACAGCCTCTGTTGTGTTATCTATGATTTAACATGTTTTTATAACAGCCTCTGTTGTGTTATATATAATATTACATGTAGCTATAACAGCCACTGTTGTGTTATATATAATAATATAACATGTAGTTATAACAGCCACTGTCATGTTATAAATAATATTACCTCTAGTTAGAACAGACACTTGTGTTATATTTAATATTACATGTAGTTATAACAGCCACTGTTGTGCTATATATAATTATATTACATGTAGTTATAACAGCCACTGTTGTTTTAAATATAATATTACATGTAGTTATAACAGCCACTGTTGTTTTATATATAATATTACATGTAGTGATAACAGCCACTGTTGTGTTATATATAATATGACATGTAGTTATAACAGCCACTGTCGTGTTATATATAAAATTACATGTAATTATAACAGCCACTGCCACTGTCGTGTTAAAAATAATATTATCTCTAGTTAGAACAGACACTTGTGTTATATTTAATATTACATGTAGTTATAACAGCCACTGTTGTGCTATATATAATTATATTACATGTAGTTATAACAGCCGCTGTCGTGTTATATATAAAATTACATGTAATTATAACAGCCACTATTACATGTAGTTATAACAGCCACTGTCATGTTATAAATAATATTACCTCTAGTTAGAACAGACACTTGTGTTATATTTAATATTACATGTAGTTATAACAGCCACTGTTGTTTTATATATAATATTACATGTAGTGATAACAGCCACTGTTGTGTTATATATAATAATATAACATGTAGTTATAACAGCCACTGTCATGTTATAAATAATATTACCTCTAGTTAGAACAGACACTTGTGTTATATTTAATATTACATGTAGTTATAACAGCCACTGTTGTTTTATATATAATATTACATGTAGTGATAACAGCCACTGTTGTGTTATATATAATTATATTACATGTAGTTATAACAGCCGCTGTCGTGTTATATATAAAATTACATGTAATTATAACAGCCACTGTCGTGTTATATATGATATTACATGTAGTTATAACAGCCACTGTCGTGTTATATATAATATTATCTCTAGTTAGAACAGACACTGTTGTGTTATCGATGATTTAAAATGTTTTTATAACAGCCACTTGGTGGGGGAAGTGTGGAGTACAAGTAGTATGTCACTATATGGGTTTTCCTTTTTTCAATTATTCACCATTTGTTTTTGACAGGTACACCAACCCTATCCTATAGCAGTGCATTTTCTGAAGATGAAGATACATGTCCGAGTAAGTATAGCCTTATTCCTTGGAACAATGTGCCTGGTAGACATTTCAGTTTTTGTACAATTCTGGTGTCGCTGTCAACTTTTCCTTTAAACAACTTCTCCTGAAGAACGAACAGGCCTAGAGTCATGATATTTGGCTGAAAGCTTTGTTGGTAGGAGCCTGACAAAGATTGAGAATGAAAATGACAGGGGTCAAATATGTCGAACACTTCAAACAACTTCTTCTGAAGAACTGAAAGGTATATCATCTTCATATTTGGCTGGTGGCTTCCTGGGATAGGGCCTGACAAAGTGTAAAAAAAGAAAATGACCTTGACCTACTGGGTATTCTGCTGTTGGAGGATCCCCCCTTGTTGGCAGAGCCAATTTTCTTTCCTCCACCGGGAGATCCAGTAAAGGCTCTGGCACTCCGGGAGAAAGTAAGGACCATGTTTTTCTAAGGGTGCTGACGAGGAGGTGCCAATAGTGGGATGTGCCTATGGCTTCTGCTCTAGTAAATTTCTGGTTTGTAAGAAGTCTGTGGCTATGTGTCCAACTATAAATCTAAGTGCATTCAACAGGCACATACATGTAGACTCTCCCCACTTCAAGATGGATTTTCCGCGGGGCATTATTGCTTCAGTGAGAGGGAATATGGGTGACATAAGTAGAATTGAAGGATACCTACTTCCATATCCCCATCAAGAAGTCAGCACGGAAGTACCTCCGTTTCACGTGCAATGGAAACGTCTTCCAGTTTTGGGCCATGCAGTTTCTCTGCACTTTCGAGGAGTAGATGTGCACATGTTCGTCTCACTGGTTCAAGATTCGAAGGCTTGGGCTGTGGACTCTCTGTCCCTGGATTGAGAGGGAATGCATCCATACACATATCTATTTTTTGGTCACCTGGAAAAGGGATTTCATTGATTAATCATGAGTATGTTACTGACATCTCCCTGACAAAGTGTTGTTATTTTTCGGGTCAATCAGAAATCCAATCTGGCTGCCACGGCCGCCATTTTGAAAAACTATTTCAAACTTAAAGTCAAGTTCTACTGCGCCGATCTAACTGAAACTTGGAAGGAATGATCAACTCATAGTCCTGACAAAGTGTTATTTTTTCAGGTCGATCAGAAATTCAATATGGCCACCATTTTGAAAAACTATTTCAAACTTATAGTTTTACTTGGGAGATTTTACTGAAAGTTAATAGGAAAGATCAACTCATAGTCCTGACAAACTTCACTTGACATTATACTTAACTATTTCTTACTCATATTTGTAGGGATGATTGACATAGTTATCTCCACTTCATATTTCAACAACAAAAATAAATTCTGTACGACCCGGGTGACCGTTAAGGCCCATGGGCCTCGAGCTCTTGTTCTTTTAATTCACAAGTGACATATACCTGAAAATTTCAATCTGATGTGAAAAAGCAATGCTTATACGCTTAAAGTCACAGAAACAAGCACACGAAGTTCAAAACATTTCAGAATGATTTGCACTTAAATGTTGGAATATTTGCTTTACCTTTTCAACTTCTTTTATACAGGACCAAACTCATCTGAGAGAGCTGTTACTTGGAAACCTGTGAAAGCCAGGAGAGGAAGTGTTCCAGATCTGATTGCTTCATCAGCAAACCAGGGAAATTTGGTATAAAACATTTGTTAGATCAGATATTCCTTATTTCTTGATGAAAATACTTAAACATTTTGATTTTGGCAAGTAGCCTCCTATGATGGAGCCTGACAAAGTTTGCGAATGAAAATGATCTTGACCTACTTTCAAGGTCACAGCGGTCAAAAAGGTCTAAACCTTCGAACGACTTTTTCTGAAGATCTGAAAGGCCTAGAGTCATGATATATGGCCAGTAGCATCCTATGATGAAGCCCGATAAAGTTTGCGAATGAAATGACGTTGGCCCACTTTCAAGGTCACAGGGGTCAAATAGATCAAAACATTCAAACTACTTCTTCTGAAGATCTGAAAGGCCTAGAGTCATGATATATGGCCAGTACCATCTTATGATGGCGCACAACAGTTTGCAAATGAAAAATAACCTTGACCTATTTTCAAGGTCACAGGGGTCAAATATGTTATGTGTAGACCAGCTGTGTGAATCGTTTTCTTCATTACAGTAATGAGGTCAAAGATCAACTTTAAGTGCTAGCCTGAATCAAAGGTCAACAGGCATTAAAAGCTTTAAAATTAAAATTTCAAGTTTCAAACAACAATTTCTTTTAGTTACCTTTATGTCAGTTTCGTGTAACAAAAGAAACAGGTGAGCGATACAGGCCGTCTGGGCCTCTTGTTCATGATAGTATTAAAGCATGAGTAAAAAAGTTTAACGCTTTTCAGCCAATAAGTTTAAACGTAACTGTTTCTTATAATATTTTATTATTATTATAGTGTCACATCTTAATGAATACATAAAACAGATACATTCCACAAATTCAGGTAAAACCATAATAACACCCAGTCATTACTGACTTATAAGACACTTAAATTCAATGTAACATTAGTCATCACACTTAAATTCAATGTCACATTAGTCATCACACTTAAATTCAATGTAACATTAGTCATCACACTTAATTTACAATACATGCATAAAACAAAAAAAAAACAAAAAAAACACAACAAACATGTTTATAAAGGAATTTAGCCAAATTTTGTCTTCAGCATCCTTGGGAAGGGGAAGTCAATTTTGTATAAATAGAGGATGTGGCTCCCCTCGGGGCAGAGGGGGCCCGTTTAAAATCCTTCTTCTTGAATAGAGGGATTTAGGCAAAAAGGACTCAATTTTGTATAAATGAACGGTGTGACCCCTTGGAGCATAGGGGCACAGCGCATATATTATATAATTAGGGGAAATACAGGTAATTTTTTTAATTCTTCTTCTAAATGAATGGAGGTATTTTAACAAAATTTGGTTTGGAACATCCTTGGGCAAGGGGAAATAATTTTGTATAAACTGATAGTGTGGCTCCCCAGAGGCAGAGGGGCAGAGCCCATTAGGGGTAATTAAGGTAAATTTTTAAAATACTTCCTCTTCTGTGGGAATGTAGATATTTTAACCAGAGGGGCAGAGCCAAATAGGGTGAAATAGAGGTAAATTATAATCTTTAAAATCCTTCTCCTCCTGTAAGAATGAAGGGATTTTAACAACATTTGGTTTAGTTAATGAATACATAAAACAGATACATTCGTCCCTATTTTGTGTAAATGGAGAGTGAGGTCCCCCTGGGAGCAGAGGGGTATGGCCAAATAAGGTGAAGAGAGATAAATCCTGTTTCATGCAGAAGAAGGGATCTAAGTCTAATTTGAAATAGAGTATCCTCGGCCCAGTAGGATCCAATGTTGTATAAACCACCTCAATGGGACAGAGGAATGAAACACAATAATGTGAGGTTGTTGCAGAGAGACAGAGCCAAGACTTGGAAATATTTGCAGTATACTATTTATTGAGAATGTGTTGCTCTAATTGCTTAAATAGCCAGATGAGCGATACAGGCCTCTGGGCCTCTTGCTTATAAGTGCATCAGTTTTGTTGCACTGTACTCTTGATTGGGTTTCAGATGGATGAGGATAGCCTACGGCAGAGAGATGGTACATCAACTCCTATTTACAGCCCTGATGGTAAGTACAGTTTTATGCCTGTCACATTATTGCTTGAGGCATGCCGAGTGTTAGCCATTTCCAGCATCCAGCTGGTTTGCCTATTCTGTGGTTGTATTTAGCTACATTTTTTTTGTTAAACTTTGTAATTTGCTCCATTAATTGGTAAGCCTTGGTTTTTAGCTCCATTTCTTTAGTAAGACTTTGTGTCTAGCTCCATGTCTTTAGTAAGGCTTTGTGTTTAACTCCATTTCTTAAGTAAGTCTTTGTGTTTAACTCCATTTCTTTAATAAGTCTTTGTGTTTAGCTCCATGTCTTTGGTAAGACTTTGGGTTTAGCTCCATTTCTTTTGTAAGACTTTGTGTTTAATAACCTTGACCTATTTTCAAGGTCACAGGGGTCAAATATGTTAAAAACTTTAAACAACTTCTTAATAACCAAAAGGCCTAGGGTGTAGTCCATTTCTTTAGTAAGTCTTTGTGTCTAGCTCCATTTCTTTAGCAAGACTTTATGTTTAGCTCCATTTCTTTACTAAGACTTTGTGTTTAGCTCGATTTCTATAGTATTTAGTGAGAATGTGTTGCTCTAATTGCTTAAATAGCCAGATGAGCGATACAGGCCTTTGGGCCTCTTGCTTATAAGTGCATCAGTTTTGTTGCACTTTACTCTTAGTTGGGTTTCAGATGGATGAGGATAGCCTACGGCATAGAGATGGTACATCAACTCCTATTTACAGCCCTGATGGGAAGTACAGTTTTATGCCTGTCACATTATTGCTTGAGGCATGCCGAGTGTTTGCCATTTCCAGCATCCAGCTGGTTTGCCTATTCCGTGGTTGTATTTAGCAACATTTTTTTTGTTAAACTTTGTAATTTGCTCCATTAATTGGTAAGCCTTGGTTTTTAGATCCATTTCTTTAGTAAGTCTTTGTGTCTAGCTCCATGTCTTTGGTAAGGCTTTGTGTTTAGCTCCATGTCTTTGGTAAGACTTTGGGTTTAGCTTCATTTCTTTAGTAAGCCTTTGTGTCTAGCTCCATTTTTTTAATAAGACTTTGTGTCTAGTCCATTTCTTTAGTAAGTCTTTGTGTCTAGCTCCATTTCTTTAGTAAGTCTTTGTGTCTAGTCCATTTCTTTAGTAAGTCTTTGTGTCTAGCTCCATTTCTTTAGCAAGACTTTGTGATTAGCTCCATTTCTATAGTAAGACTGTGTTCAACTCCATGTCTTTAGTAATACTTTGTGTTTAGCTCCATTTCTATAGTAAGACTTTGTGTTTATTTCCATTTCTTTAATAAGACTTTGTGTTTAGTTCCATTTCTTTAATAAGGATCTAAGTCTAATTTGGAATAGAGTATCCTTGGCCCAATATAATTCAATGTTGTATAAACATGCTCCAACTTAGCTCCATTTCTTTAGCAAGACTTTGTGATTAGCTCCATTTCTATAGTAAGACTTTGTGTTCAACTCTGATGGTAAGTACAGTTTTATGCCTGTCACATTATTGCTTGAGGCATGCCGAGTGTTTGCCATTTCCAGCATCCAGCTGGTTTGCCTATTCTGTGGTTGTATTTAGCTACATTTTCTTTGTTAAACTTTGTAATTTGCTCCATTAATTGGTAAGCCTTGGTTTTTAGATCCATTTCTTTAGTAAGTCTTTGTGTCTAGCTCCATTTCTTTGGTAAGACTTTGGGTTTAGCTCCATTTCTTTTGTAAGACTTTGTGTCTAGTCCCTTTCTTTAGTAAGACTTGTATTTAGCTCCATTTCCTTAGTAAGACTTTGTGTGTAGCTCCATTTCTTTAGCAAGACTTTGTGATTAGCTCCATTTCTATAGTAAGACTTTGTGTTCACCTATTTGAAATAGAGTATCCTTGGCCCAATATAATTCAATGTTGTATAAACTTTCTTTAGTAAAACTTTGAGTTTAGCTTCATTTCTTTAGTAAGCCTTTGTGTCTAGCTCCATGCCTTTGGTAAGACTTTGTGTTTAACTCCATTTCTTAAGTAACACTTTGTGTTTAGCTCCGTTTCTTTAATAGGACTTTGTGTCTAGCTCCATGCCTTTGGTAAGACTTTGTGTTTAGCTCCGTTTCTTTAATAAGACTTTGTGTCTAGCTCCATTTCTTTAGCAAGACTTTGTGATTAGCTCCATTTCTATAGTAAGACTTTGTGTTCAACTCTGATGGTAAGTACAGTTTTATGCCTGTCACATTATTGCTTGAGGCATGCCGAGTGTTTGCCATTTCCAGCATCCAGCTGGTTTGCCTATTCTGTGGTTGTATTTAGCTACATTTTTTTTGTTAAACTTTGTAATTTGCTCCATTAATTGGTAAGTCTTGGTTTTTAGCTCCATTTCTTTTGTAAGACTTTGTGTTTAACTACATTTCTTAAGTAAGACTTTTTGTTTAGCTCCATTTCTATAGTAAGACTTTGTGTTCAACTTCATTTCTTTAGTAAGCCTTTGTGTCTAGCTCCATTTCTTTAGTAAGACTTTGTGTTTAGCTCCATTTCTTTTGTAAGACTTTGTGTCTAACTCCATTTCTTTAGTAAAACTTTTTGTTTAGCTTCATTTCTTTAGTAAGACTTTGTGTCTAGCTCCATTTATTTAGTGAGAATTCTCAGTGATCTTTTCTAATAATGCAAAAATCAGCTCTGTAGTNTCAGAGGTGCTAGTTTCAAATCCTTTTTAGTCTGAAATCTGTATGCTTGATATTGAATAAGGTGGTTTTATTGTTTTTTGTCACTTTGAATAATATTTCTGTTCATGTTAAAAACGAAATCAACTCTCTGTATAAATATATCAGGTGACCGTTAAGGCCCATGGGCCTCTTGTTTGATAATGTTTGTTTCATCATTTGATTTAGTCTTGTTTGCCATCATCCATTTCAGCAACATTCACCATGGGCTCCTTACAGAGAGTGAAGGAAGTTCTCCGTCGATTACGTTGGCAGGAAGAGAGAGCAACGGGATCTGACATCACCAGTACCTCTGTAAAAGAACTGGAGAACACCTTCACTGAACAGGTTGCTGCAGATGTGTGTAAATTTGTGACGGGAGAGACGACAGAAACCTCTCCAGGGACAGACACTGAAGGGATAGAGTCCAACAGAACCAACAATCCCAGGGAAATAGCAGTGGCTCTGGAACACCAGCAATCAAGGGCAGAGGTAAGAATATCAAAGGTGGATGGAGCCAAGCAAAGTGTGTGAACAAACATGACATTGACCTTTATTCAATTTCACAGGGGTCAAATATTTTAAAAATGACTTCATCTGAAGAAAAGGAAGCTCTAGAATCATTATATTAGGCTTGTAGCTTCCTTGGATTGAGTCCAATAGAATTTGCATATAGAAATGACGTTGACCTGTATTCAAGGTCACAGGTATCAAATATGTAATAAACGACTTCTTCTGAAGAACCAAAACACTTAGAGTCATGATATAAGGCTGGAAGCTTCCTGAAAAGCAACTCAACAAAAGTTGCAAAGATTTTTTTTTTTAACTTAAATCATAATCAAGGTCACAGGGTGTATGTGTTGAAAACCTTAAAATTCTGAATAACCAAAAGTTATTAAGTGATGATATTTGTCAATTAGCATGCTGGGATGAAAGACTATCAAGTTTTTGAAATGAAGGACCTTAAAAGATTTTGAATGCAACAAGGGTCAAATGTGTTAAAAATCTGGTAACAGATTCTTTAGTGTGATGGTAATAAGCCTGTTGCTTTATTCAGTCCTTTGAATGTATTTGACCTTTGTGCAATTTAAACCCCACAACAGTGAAATTAAAAGCAGGTTAGTGATGCTTTCCCATTGGGCCTCTTGTTGTCGCTGCATTTTAATTCCTTCTTTATTGTTTGAATTACAGTCTAGACTGTATGCACTGAATCAAATTAAGGAATTGCTGTCTACACGGGCAGACAAACAGGAGCGTGGGGAGGAAGTGTCTGCTCTCACCCAGACCACCTTACTGTGTTCTGCCCACATCCAGCTCCTCACCGGCTCATTCAGCTTTAGCGGACCTCTGGAGAGCTCTGGTCAAGGGGCACAACTCTATCACTATCAGGTAAGTTCAGTGGATTACTGTGTACTATCTGTTGATTTTGTCTCCCCTTCATTGAAAGGATGACATTGTACACTGTATTTGACATTTCTTTTTTGCAGTAGACCTAGAAGAGAGAACGGAGACCTAGACAAGTAAATTGTGATTTTTGGGTGGGGGTCGGGTTCATCTCAAAAATGATATTTTACTTTAAACAACTTATTAATAACCAAAAGGCCTAGGGTGATGATATTTGGCCAGAAGCAAAATGGGATGAAGGGCTACCAAGTTGGATAAAATATATGACCTTCACCCATATTCAAGGTCACCGGGGTCAAATATGTTAAAAACTTTAAGCGGCTTCTACTGAATAACCAAAATGCCCAGGGTGATGATATTTGGCCAGTAGCATGCTGGGATAAAGGCCTACCAAATTTGTTCAGATGAATGACCTTCACATATATTCAAGGTCCCAGGGGTCAATTGTCTAAAATAAAACTTTGAACGACTTCTTCTGAATAAGCAAATTGCCTAGAGTGATAATACTTGGAACAGAGGGGCATGACCCAAAAGAGGTAAATCTTAAAACTCATTTCATTCCATACAGAAGAGATGTAAACCATATTTGAAATAGAGTATCCTTGGCCCAATATAATTCAATGTTGTATAAACATGCCCCACCTCAATGAGGACAGAGGGATGAAACCCAATAATGTAAGGTTGTTGCAGAGAGACAGAGCCAAGATTTGGAAATATTTGCAGTTTAATATTTATTAAGAATATTTTGACATGATTGCTTAAATATCCAGGTGGGTGTTGATACAGACCCTCTAGGCCTTTTGTTTTTTCTCCATTGTTGTAATCAAATTGATCAGCTCATTTTGAAATCATTACCTATCTCATGTATTGTTATACTCTACTGTGTAACCTTGTCTATGATAAGTGGGCTGATTTCTCCAGGGTACAGCTTTTAATTCTTGGGAATTATACCCCAAATCTCTTATATAGAATATTGCTGAGAGGGTAGAAACACTAGTTGGACATTCTATTTCTTAGATTGTTGGGGGTCTCTAGGAGTCTTGTTGCTTCCATAGAGTTTTTTCAGAGTCTTAAGTGACCCCTCTTGGTTCTTTGGGTTCTAGCTCTTTTCCATTTCCAGGCTAATTTCTGTAACATCTCCGAGTCCAGCTAACTTGAAAAAAAAAGAATTGAAGAAGCTTTTACTTTAGGTTAGTAACCCCTGCTATGCCAAACAGTTTTAGTCTATATGCTGATATGATGTACATGTACTTGTGTTCTCACAATACCTTGATGTTTACAACTTTGACTCAAGTAATAAACAGGCTAAAACTGTTTCCTTGCATATAGCTTTGTGTAAATAAAGCAATTGATGTAGGTCTGACCCAAAGGTATCATCATGCAAAAACAAATGCTCATCTGTGAGGGGCTGTTTATAAAAATATGTAGGCTAATTTAGCTGCAGTAATGAATTTAATGCTAATTGAGGGACAGAAACCAAAAGTAGGTATGACACAGTCCAAAATAATGGTAATTTCCAGCTTAACATTCTTCAAACAAATATTTTCTAATCTGATGTCGACTTGTCAGGAAATTCCATGTTTCTGAAACCCAATCAACAATTCTCACCTGTCCATGCAACCTTCTGTCTATCCTAAAACAATTCTCACCTGTCCATGCAACCTTCTGTCTATCCTAAAACAATTCTCACCTGTCCATGCAACCTTCTGTCTATCCTAAAACAATTCTCACCTGGCCATGTAACCTTCTGTCTATCCTAAAACAATTCTCACCTGGCCATATAACCTTCTGTCTATCCTAAAACAATTCTCACCTGTCCATGCAACCTTCTGTCTATCCTAAAACAATTCTCACCTGGCCATATAACCTTCTGTCTATCCTAAAACAATTCTCACCTGGCCATGTAACCTTCTGTCTATCCTAAAACAATTGTCACCTGTCTATGCAACCTTCTGTCTATCCTAAAACAATTGTCACCTGTCTATGCAACCTTCTGTCTATCCTAAAACAATTGTCACCTGTCTATGCAACCTTCTGTCTATCCTAAAACAATTGTCACCTGGCCATGCAACCTTCTGTCTATCCTAAAACAATTCTCACCTGTTCATGCAACCTTCTATCTATCCTAAAACAATTCTAGTTCGTGTCTTTTCTTAAAAAAAGTTAAAGAGATCCCTAATGATACAAATCAATTATGGAATTGATTGGAAAACCAATATTGTGACCATCTTGAAATTTGTGAGTGAAAGTTTGTTAATGCTGTTTCTCAGTAAGTACTGGAGGGATCAATCTCATGTTTCACACAAAGGTTTCCAATGATCCATTGTTGTGGATATCCAATTTTTGAGATCTTCGTATTTGAAAGTTTTAGGTGTTGGCACCTTTAAATTGATAAATGTTAGCATCTCTATATTAGTACTTACCTTGTGTTAAAGGATGAAATAAAGGCTGCCAAGGCCAAGACACAGGAGGAGATCCAGCTGGCCGTTCATCAGATTTATGAGTTGCTGGTCAAGGCGCTCAGCCAGACTGACAAAATGGATGGTATTGGAAAAGGTAGGTGTATGTACTCTGCTAAAGTTGTAAAAGATGTGGATTTTTTAGTAGGACAAGGAAAAGTCATAAAGATAATGCCGTCGTTGGGCTCGAACTCGCGACCGTTGGCTTTCCAGCCTGATGCTCTACCGCTAAGCTTAAGGGAAATTCCTTACAGCTGACGCTTGTAAGGCAACCTAATTAATTCACATATTTTACACAATTGTGTACTAATTGAGTAAAGAATGCCTGAGGAGAGCTGAACATTGCTGAGATTCCTATTGAACAGCTATTGTAGTTGGACTTTCTACAGTTAATTCAGCTACAGTATCTTAAACATTTTACAGTATGCATGTTTGTTACTTAACCTTAAGCTTGGGGTGCAGTTATTTTTGCCCCCCTGGCTAGCCAATTCTTTCCCTGTGCAGGAAACTTTGGGCTATCTCTAGGTACATCACTTTCCACTTAATGCCATTTTGCATGTCACTTCTTAAGGTTTGTTGTTGCTATTTCTAGATAATGACCAAATCTCACTAAAAAGAATCACTGATCTCACTATTTTGCACGGGAAAGTTATGGCATGTATGGATGTGGCTTCTGTTGTATTACAGAGGTCCAGCTGGTCTCATCATGGCTTCTCCATTAGTGTTCACACATCAGACTTAAGTCGCTCCTCTGGACATATTTCAGAGTCTAGCTGGTCCCATAATGGCTTCTCCAGTAGTGGTCACACCTCAGACTTTAGTCGCTCCTCTAGACATATTTCAGAGTCTAGCTGGTCTAATCATGGCTTCTCCAGTAGTGCTCACACATCAGACTAAAGTTGCTCCTCTGGACATATTTCCGAGTCTAGCTGGTCCCATAATGGCTTCTCCAGTAGTGGTCACACCTCAGACTTTAGTCGCTCCTCTAGACATATTTCAGAGTCTAGCTGGTCCCATAATGGCTTCTCCAGTAGTGGTAACACATCAGACTTAAGTCGCTCCTCTGGACATATTTCAGAGTCTAGCTGCTTCATATCTGTGGGATGTGTTAAGTGCTTCACTGAAGACATTGTTCCGCCCGGCAGTACTCTTGTTTATACAATTACAAGTCAACTAATGATTTGTCACGTGGATATTTTTATAGTTTGAAGACCAAGTGGTGAATTATTGTACATTAGAGATTTAAAAAGCATTAATATAACTTGATGTGTTTATTCAGGTGTTCGATTAAAGTTGCTGTTGTGGACAATCTACTCTCTGAGTATGAAGTACAAGCCAGCAGACATCTCCCTGGCGGTGTCGTGTGGCCTGCTGCCACGCCTACTCAGCCTAAGTAACGGTGAGACCTCCACATCCTACATCATCCCCGTTTCTGGGCAGGACATACAGTACAGCCAGTTAAAGGTCGTTGTCAAGATGGCTAGTTCTCATCTCCTCAGACTCATCACACTCACGTCAGGGTATGTCATATAACACAATATAATTCACTAATATTCTTAGTAACACTGTCATGTCTGGCATACTACAAGTGTCAGTAAGTATGTCCAGGTGTCTGAAATGGGGGCATAGAGCATTACCAGTGTCAGTTTGTTTGTCTGTCAAAGTGTCTGAAGTGGGGGCGTATAGCATTACCTGTGTCAGATTGAATGTCTGTCCAGGTGTTTGAAGTGGGGCATAGAGCATTACCAGTGTCAGTTTGTATATCTGTCAAGGGGTCTGAAGTGGGGCATAGAGCATTACCAGTGTCAGTTTGTATATCTGTCAATGTGTCTGTAGTGGGGCATAGAGCATTACCAGTGTCAGTTTGTATGTCTGTCAAGGTGTCTGAAGTGAGGCATATAGCATGGGAGACTTTGGATTTCCTTGCAATAATTTGCCTTATTTATTTTAGCTCACATGGCCAAAAGGGCCAAGTGAGCTTATGGCATGGACCGGCGTCTGTCCGGCGTCAACTTTTTACTTTAAACAACTTCTTCTCAGTAACCAAAAGGCCTAGGGTGATGATATTTGGCCAGAAGCATGCTGGGATGAAGGGCTACCAAGTTTGTTCAAATTAATGACCTTCATCCATTTTTAAGGTCACAGGGATCAAATATGTTAAAACCTTCAAACAACTTCTTCTGAATAACCAAGGGTGATGATATTTTGCCAGTAACATGCTGGGATGAAGGGCTACCAAGTTTGTCTAAATGTATGACCTTGAATCATATTCAAGGTCACAAGGAGCAAATATGTTTAAAATATTTTAACAACTTGTTCTGAATAGCCAAAAGGCTCAGAATGTTGATATTTAGTTAGTAGCATATGCTGGGATCAAGGACTACTATGTTTGTTAAAGTGAATGACTTTGACTTATATTCTAGGTCACAGGGGTCAAATTTGTTTAAAATCTTTAAACAACCTCTTATGAATAACCATGGGTCCCAGGATGTTTATACTTTGCAAGTTGCATCCTGAGATGAAAGCCTATACAATGTGTTCAACATAATGACTTTGTTCGACTTTCAATCACAGGGGTGAAATGTTTAAAAAAAAAATAACAGGGTCTTTTGAACGAATTTTAATCATAAATACTGATATTTTGCCTGTAGCTTTATTTTAGATCACTTTTAAGGTTACAAGTGTGAGTTTTATACCAGGTGAGCGATGCAGGCCCATTGGGCCTCTTGTT